TTGAGCGTTCAATTCCTAATTTCCCTATTTTCCCTGAAGTTACCTGAAGTCTGAAAATACTAAGTGTGAAACCCAAGAAATAAACAACTTTTCAGTTTTAAATCGCTACATTGTCCTGAGTTGCATAAAGTCTTATGCTATTTTTCTTCTCATTCCTACTCTACACATGAACCATTTCTTTCTCCAGGGTATCCATTTTGTATATAACCACCTTCCCAATGATACTTGGTAGCCATCTCAGTGATGAGACTGACCAGTATGGTGTGGCAAGGCTTGAGTTCAAGTAATCCTTGCTTTACCCAACACAGACCCAAAGAGTGGCAGGAGCAGTGGAAAGAAGGGGTCTGGGCACAAATCTTGGAAGGACAGACTGACTCCTGGACTATGTGTGATGCTGCAGGACATATAGGGAAATGCACAATCAAAAGATCAATGATAGGTAGATGATAGATAGATAGATAGATAGATAGATACATACATACATACATACATACATACATAATAGATGATTGGTAAGTATTTGATACATAAGTAGATAGATGATGGATGGATGAATTGATAGATGATAGAGAGATGATAGGTAGATGACTGATAAATATTTAATATCTATGATGATGGATGGTAGATGATGGATGGATAGATAGATGATAGATTGATAAGTGATTGATAGATATTTGATGTTTGGAAGATGGATTGATATATCGATACATACATACATATGTATACAAGAAGGTAGATAGGTGATGTATGGTTAGAGAAATACATAGATAGATAAATAGACAGATAATCAATAGATATTTGGTAGGTAGATGACAAATGGATTGATGGATAGATAGGTAATAGATGGATGGATAGATACATAGATAATTGGTAGAAAGACAGAGTGACAGAGAGATAGTATGGTACTACTTGGTTTAAGGCCTCTACTAGGAGCCTTGGAACTCATCTTCCATGGGTAAGAAGGGATGCCTATACTAGAAATGGAAAGGAAAGGAAAATCTGGAATAAATGCCTTTCTGACAAGTTCACCCTCTTCATATCAGCAAGATGTCTCAATGTGCAGAGACACAAAAGAGTCATTCATTTATTTCAGAGCCACTCTTACCCCAAGCTCCATCCTCAGATACATTTTTATTAAAGTTGGTATGTGAGTAGAAGTGCAAATATACTTATATGTTCTATTTTTATGTCCTTGAAAAGGGAAGGAGAAAAAAGGAAGAGTTCCATTCATGTGTCATACTCCGAGACTTATGGTAGTTTGCTAATTATAAGTTCTATTGTCTTGGTCTCAAAAGGAATTCAAGAGCTGAACCAAGTATAGTAAGGTCTCTCCGACCCCCATGATTATGCAGCTGCAAACTTGGTAGCTGAAATGTCAGCCTGCCTTCGTATTTTTGCAGGCCAAAAGGCCAGGCAAAGTCAAGTCAAATTGTTTCTTGTTTGGTACAAAAAAATTGCAAAAAAAATCTAACAATGGGGCTCAAAACTGTATCAGAAACTTTAGTCTCTTCTCTGACCTCCCGACACTTGGCTGAACTCACGACCAAGAGCTACATGTTTGCCACAGGTGATGGGCACTTGTTCCTACAGGAGTCAGAAGCAAGGAGCCCAAATTCTCTTCTGAGCCATCAAAAGCATCTTTTCTTTTTTTTTTCCTGCTCAGTCAGTGACAGAGATGGAGGACACACAGCTGTGGACATGGCTTGATGCAGAGCAGAGAAAGAAGGAGTACGGAAATTCTGCAGCTCAGCCATTTTCTTTGGCTCCCCTCACATCAAATGGGCTGCAGGGCATGTGAAAAGGAAAATCTGTGGTCCAGACTGAGGAGATGGTTGGTCATGGGTCACACTGTCATCTTGTTTCCTATATCTTTGGAATCATTTGTGAATAGGTCTATTAGGCCCACAAATATGAATATACTTAAAGGCTTTTAACCTAGGTGTGGGTCACAATGGTGAGGTAATGGACTATAATAATAGTGAATGAATTAAATGATTCTTTTTTATATTGTCTCCATTGATATTTGTTATTATTTTTGATTGTCGTCCCTCTGATCTGTATCATTTCTGCTTTTATTTGGACTTCTTCAATAGCAATGAGGATTGTAAAATAATGACATATTGCTTGCTGTGTGAGAATTAGTACATTTAATTGCTTTAAAAAACCACTTGGATGTAGCATGGGGACAATGTATGAGTTCAGCAATGCCTAGTGTGCTCATGGTCACACAGAAGTTATTCCTGCCCCTGCCCTCTGTCTCTGCCTCTCTAAATTCACCTCCCAGATCCAGACTTCTCATGAATTGTCCATTCGAGATCTTTCTGCACCAAGTGTTCTCTAAGCTCCCTTTCTTTTTACAGTACTCATATTCAGAGTCCCTAAGACCTGATCTCTGGGAATCAGGTGTTGAATTCGATTAATAAACAAAGATCTGTTAAACTCAGTCCTTCCTACAAATGTTCAAGCAGCCAAATGGGAAGCATGCTCAAAATAAATGCTGGGGTTTTTTCCCATAAATTACTCATACTAGAGTGTTGTGGATAATCTAATTTCTCCCTTAAATCTCTCACCCAGCTCATGTTTTCTCAAGACATTTTAACTTTTCTGTTAATCTTAAATATGTTAAATTCTAGCCAAGAATAACTAGCTAGCTTCCTGTGGTAACAATTGCTCCTATGAACCAATAGTCAGAACAGAAGTTGCTAGAAGTTGAGTATTGAGGGTGTACAGCCATATTTGGTCACTGTCTGTCTGGTTTCTGGGCATTATTTTTCTTTGCTGGCTGGAAATTATGTTCTGCCTTGAGAGAATATATAGATGGAACTGCCTGTTAAATCACTCACTCATCTTTAAAACCAAAATAATTCCTTCTATCAGAAAGGCTATAACAAACATATTGTTTCTCAATTGGATAAACATTGGCAATCTAAATCTCTATACTCTTTCATGAAAACAAGGAAATTTGAAATCTATCTCAAGGCCTCATGACAGAAAGTAGCTGCAGAAGAAATATCCTAAACAGTCCCAGTTTTGGAGTTTAAAAGTCAAAAAGGGGGAGCCGGGCTCTGGTGGCTCACATCTGTAATCCTAGCTACTCAGGAGTCTGAGATTGGAGCATTGAGGTTCAAAGCCAGCCTGGGCTTTGTCTAAGTGACTCTTATCTCTGGTTAACACAACAACACAAAAGCACCAGAATTGGAGCTGTGGCTCAAGTGGTAAAGTGCTAGCCTTGAGTGAAAAAGCTAAGGGACAGAGAACCCAGGTGCCTAGTTCAAGCACAACACACACACATACACACACACACAGAGAGAGAGAGAGAGAGAGAGAGAGAGATGTAAAGAAGAGGAAGGAGGAAGTCTTTGAAACCTTCCAAATTTCAGCCATGACACAAATCCCCTTGAGAATCCTCTGAGCACCTGTGGGCATTCATTCTGTCTCACCCAGCCTCACCCAGCCTTATCTTTATGTGTCCCAGACAAGGCTTTTTTTATTTTTGCATGACTCTGTGGGCTTTGCCCACAGCTATGCTAGTCTTCTCTGTCTGCTGAGAGACCCAGAGTCTCCCTTTTGGCCTTTGTCTTCTTCCCTTGAACCCACACAACATCAGCAATGGTGCTAAGTACTAAAGATCTCACAAGCAAAAGCCACAGGACCCATGAGAGGCTCCTGGGAAATTGTGATGTCAGAAGGGAGATGCAGGGATCACAGTTAGATTAACGTCCGAAGGCCCACCTTTCTGTCCCTGCTGGATGGTCACCAGATGGGTAGGCATATGGCTGGTACTGTGACCCACCAGTCCCAAGTGTAGGCCCACTTAGTCACCACCTTCTGACGCTGCCCCTTTGCTTGCATTCATGGGAGAGGACACAGGAAAGGCTGTGATCTGTGGAGCTTGGTTGTACCTGAAGCCTGGTCCAGAACACCAAGCTGCAGGGCAGTGGCTGTCCACACTGCTGTCCTTGTGGCTGAAGGAGGACTGGTCCCATCTTCGGTCTCCCATCTGGTCTGCAGGAATCACTCTACTGTCTTGAGCAAATCCCTGATGCTGTTTCCCCTCAAGTGTAGGAGAGCTGAGGTTACATTATCTCACCTAACAGGAAGATTGTGAAGCCAGAAGGAGAGGCTGTATGTTCAGCTTTTTCAAATTCTACTTCAGATTGTGTGTTCTGCGGATTCCCACCTGTAGAGGAAGGTCCTGTCCGCATTGTTAGTCGGAGCTGCACGAAGAAGCTTACTAACCTTTCATCTTTTCCTTCATAGCTTCCTGAACTCGAGTGTGCCACTTAACTAGCTTTCTCCCTCATCTCCAACTTTTATTTCTCTGTGTCTGGCACTCTGCTCTCCAGGATTCAAGACTGGTCTCCAAGGCCCTCTGCTCTCTACCCTCACCTTCTTCCCTCTGCCCCGTGGAGATGCAGTTGCTTAGCACTCCACACCCTGTGCTTACATGACCTCAGTGTTACTTGCTGTCTGTCCCCTGACTAGAAGATTCTTACAGTGGGACCAAATCCCATTTGTTTTAATGTAATACTTTCTTTGTGTTATTTGTTTTATAACTATTGGTGGAAATGGTGAGTGTCAGATACAGGCTCTCGTGAAACAGAATTGACAAAACTTCCGAGTGAAACCCATACTTTGTCTTTGTCTGTGTTATGCTGCTATAACAAAAATCCCAGAGACGGGTTGTTTATAATGGACAAAAGTATATTGGCTCATCGTTCTGGAGACTGGGAAGTTCAGGACTGCAGCAGTGAACACACCACACTGCTCACCACAGACAGGCGAATAGTCGTCTTATGTTGTATCCTGACTCACCGTCTTGGGGATGAATGTTCCGAGAGTGGACTATGGATGGATGGGTAGTGTCATTTTTTTTCATAACATTGACAAAATGCTGAGATAGATAAATCTCCATTTATTCCTGTCATTTTAACTAAAATTCCGCATCCCAAGGTATGAGCGTGAGACATTTACTCCTTTTCCATGTGTTTGCTCATCAGCTTCCTCTGTGGCATGGCACCCAGGTTCTGTCTACAAGGCAAGTTCAGCAGACAGCACGATCCTCGATACGCTGCTTTGGTTTGATGATCTGACCTAGAACAGGTAAGGGAAACCTTCAGTACATGTTCAGCCACCAGTGTAAACATGGAATCACGGGCATATTTCCAATCCCAGTTCACCACCAAGAATGGAATGTGCTCTCAAGAGTGAAAATCACAGGTCAGAGATGGCCTTTGCCTTTTTTACTTAGACAACTTTCTTCCCTGCCATTCAAATTTCTGAAGATCCACTTCATTTTCTTTGTTATGTGGCAAGCACAGATCAAGACTGCATCCGTCCTAAAAGACAAGGACAATTCCATGCCCATGTAGTTCTGAAAATAATAATATTTCTGTACAACACCGTGAAAGTCAAATAATATTAAACAAGGTGCGTACCCTGGCAATTCCCAAAGCTTATTATCTGCTCAAAAGCATACCACAACTGTGTCAGGCCCTCCCTATGAACACCAGCGGAAATAATGAATTCAAACTAAGAGAAAGCTGAGCACAACATCATCAGAGGCAAAATAACGTCTTGAACAAATCGTGATCTCTTAAGATTTTGTGATAATTTCCTCGTTGATATAAAATGACAAAAATATTCCCACATTTGACAAATTGTTCTATCCATCTTCTTGATGAGTATTTTATGAAATTGTATGCTAAAAATATATAAATAAGAATATATAGGTATGTGCCTTCTATGTCACATTACTTGGATGAGCACTGTGTTTACATTAGATAGATAGATGATAGGTAGATAGATAAATAGATGATAATCTTTTTGTCAGATGATAATTTTTTTTTTTTTTTTTTTTTGTCGGTCATGGGGCTAGAACTCTGGGCCTGGGCGCTGTCCTTCAGCTCTTCAGCTCAAGGCGAGTGCTCTACCACTTGAGCTACAGTGCCACTTCCGGTTTTCTGGTGGTTTAATGGAGATAAGAGTCTCACGGTCTCTCCTGCCAGGGCTGGCTTTGAACCGCGATCCTCAGATCTCAGCCTCCTGAGTAGCTAGGATTACAGGCGTGAGCCACCAGTGCCCGGCTCAGATGATAATTTTACTATACATTTGTATAATACCTGTGCAATATCTGTGTTTATGATATGAGGATAGGTTATCAAAAGATTTACTGATTGCTTTTATTCAGCTTTAAAATATTGCTGAATATAATTCCATTCTTCTTTGTGATTGAATAATACTCCATAGTGTGTGATCTATGTGTGGATATGTATGCATACCTATACATAAATATACATAGACATAATTATATAATCTTGATCCATTCATTGTATGAATGAATCATATGTAAGTCATATTGCCTGATTCTATAGCTTGGTTATTATTTTTAAAAATACAGCAATAAGCATGGCTGTGCATGTGCCTGTATTACATCCTGACTTAGATTCCCTTGAAGAATGCTCAAGAATGGTATGTTGGGGTAATAGGGTAGTTCTGTTTTTAGTTTTAGGTGTTTGGTTTGTTGTTTTTTGTTGTTTTTTTTTTTTGCGGACCTCCATACTGATTTCTGTAGTGTTTACAGCACATGGTCTTTCCACCAGCAGTGTGTAAGGGCTCAACCAGTAGTGTGTAAGGGTCCCTTCCCCTGGCGGGCATTACTTGTTGCCCATGCGCTTGATTATGGCTATTCCAACTGGATAGGATGAGCTGAAGTGGACAGAACTAGAAGTCATCGTGTTAAGTGAAGTAAATCAGGTCCAAAGAGACAAAGGTTGTGTGTTTCCTTTCCTATGTGGATGCCAGACTTCAGAGATCACCAGACATGTAGATCCATACAAGAATATGTCCAAGTATAACGTGATTGTAGTGGTGGGACTGAGGAGGTCAGAGTGAGAGGGAGAATGTTAGGGGGTGAACAGTACCGAAATACCTCACATCTATGAGGGAAGGTGGCAAAATGAAACCCACAGGAGCTGTGGAGGAATAGGGAACAGCGAGGGTGGGAAAATTGAGAGTAATACAAAAGGGGAATCTGATGAAAGTCCTGCTGCACAGGTGTGAAATGGCGTGCTGAAACTCCTCTGGACAAGTAGCATACCCTAACAACACCACAGGGATAGAACATTAACCAGGTCCCGTCTGCACTGGGGGTTCTAACGGGAGAGGGTGCAGGAGGGAGACCATGGTATAATGCGTTATGTTCATGTGTGACAATGGACAACAAAGCTTTTGGAGATTGGTTTGGGAGCTGGGTTGGAGGGAGAAGGGGAGGGTGAGTCTGATCAAGCTATGTCCCATGCACACGTGGACATGTTGAAATGAACCTCCCCCCTTACAGATGATTAACACCGATGTGGAAAAATGATGTTAGAAAGACAGTAGGCTTATGGAAATACACCTCTCTATTTAGAAAAGTAGCCCGTCGAGATAAACTAAACGTTCAAAAGGAAAACTTTATCATGATTCCCCTGCCCATCCTAACTTGGCAAAACCCAACTCTGCTAAAAGTGGAGCTTGGGAACCACCACTAGCTTTCTACTGAAGACCTAGCTCTGCTGCTTCAAAGTGACCTCGGGAAAGATTTTATACTGCCTGAGAAAGAATATTATTATTTCTCCCCGTCTCCGCCACGGTCGGCCTCACGCTCTAGCCCACGCAGGAGCACGAGATGCACCTCTGTGGCCGCGCGGTCCGCCATGAGCACCGTGACCAAAGCGCTGCAGGTGGCCTCATTGCTGGGAGTGGGGGCCACCGTGGGCTCCGTGCTCTTTGCGCTGGTGACCCCAGGAGAGCTGCAGAAGAAGGGCATGCTAAAGGAGATGCCGGAGCAGAACCCGCCGCTCAAGGACGAGGCAAGCTGGAGGCAGCAGCTGGTGATGGAGACGCTGCAGAAGGCCGCGGCCACGCAGGAGGACGTGGCCTGGAGGAAGCGCTGGTGGGCTAGCAACCCCAGGAGGTCGGAGTGAGACGGGCCGGCCCTTCTCTGCGAGCCAAGCGGGGAGTCCTGACCTGGAATGTGGCCTCAGGGGAGCAGGTTCCCTCCAACCCCTGTGCACATCCCCGGCCTGAGTCGGCATGGAGGTCGGATGTGACGGACATCGAACAGTAAATCCTGCTTGTCTATCCCGAGAGCGAGCTCTGCAGACGGACCCCTCCAAGTGCTTAGGTGCGGGAGCCGGCGCTGCGGGCACCCCTGGATGCTACTGCTCCCCTGGCCCCTAAAAGCCCAGCAGGCTTAGTGACCACATTTTCAAAACAATCGGGTCACGTGGCGTATTGTCTGCATGTGCTTCTGGGAAGAGCCAGACTTAAACTCAGGACGTCCATGTTCTTGCTTAGCTTTTTCTCTCAGGCCCGATTCTACCATTCTAGCCACACTTTCGCTTCCAGCTATTTACTGGTTAGTTGGATAAAAGAGTCTTGAGGATTTGGCTGCCCTGCCTAGCACGGAACCCTGATCCTCAGATCTCAGGCTCTTCAGTAGCCAGAATTACAAGCATGAGCCACAGGTGCCCAGCTCAGGTAATATTCTTAAAATCAGAACTATTCCATATGCTGGGCACCCGTGGCTCACGCCTGTAATCCTAGCTACTCGGAAGGCTGAGATCTGAGGATCGCGCTTCAAAGCCAGCCTAGGCAGGAAAGTCTGTGAGACTCCGATCTCCAATTAACCACCAGAAAACTGGAATTTGCATTGTGGCTCCAGTGGCAGAGCTATTCCTTGAATATCTTCTTAGCAATGAATACCTATAGGGCCTTTGGGCAGGGTTGGAGGGGCATCTAGCAATTCGATGTGCCAGACTGCTTTCCTTGGCTTGGCTTTTTTTTTTTTCTCAGATCAAATCCCCTCAAAGGATTTATTTTGTTTTTAATTGTGAAAATACTGTACAGAGGGGTTACAATTACATGGGCAAGATAATGAATACATTTCTTATCAAGCATTGCAGCCTCCTCCTTTGTTTCCCCTCCCTATCCCTTCCCATTGTCCCCCGGCCCCCCCAAAGGCTTCTTGCCCTCAAGATTTACTTAGAAATGTGAAGTGCACATTCCTGGAATAGAACCATCAAGTAATAAATGTACTGGACTCCCATCCACATGCTTTTCACTAATTTCCAGTCATTGAATTGGAATCCCAATCTTCCACTATAATTCTGATTTCTTCAAGATGCCACTGAATATAAAATAAAGCCAAACGTTTGAAACTCCAAAAAAAAAAGAATATTATTATTTAATTCTGAAGGAAAGACGAGAGGGAAAGTGAAAGAACAAAAAGAAGGGGAAAAGGAAGCAGGAAGAAAATAGGCCTTGTGTACATCAGCTCACTTTTATTCTGAGTGAGGGATGTAGTAGCTAATGGGTGCTTTTCCAAGGGTTTGCAGACAAATCTCGCTCCTGCATTCTGCCCTAAATCTCTAGCTTTACCTCAAATGGTTTAAGGCAGAAACGAACTGGTCACCTGCTTGTTTGAGAGGGTATTGGGTTTCCTTTCTACAAATTAATTGATTCACATGATGTTAAAACAAATATTGGTGCACAAATTCAGGACAGTTCTCACGGAAGCCAGGATGTGCTCACTTCTCCTTGTGTCCAGTGTCAGCTGACACAGCTGAGCAGTCCAATACCCTAGTGGTCGAAGGACATGCATCTCTCTACATGTGACAGGGCACGTGTTCCCCAGTCCTCTCTGCACGAGGGTCAGAGGGAACGCCACCACTGGGGGCCTCTTCTGAAGAATTCAGTCGCCCTCTCTTAAGACTGGAAGCCAGGCTGCAGAATTGTCTCCACGTTCCTCACAGAACCTGCTGTGTAGCCACTGCCCGCCTCGCTTGTCAGTATCCCATCCACATCACGTTCACTCCTTCCCTCTGCCCACCCTTCCATGAGGCCCTTAATTTACTTCTCACTTCTCTGCTTGTCCATTTCAACCCACACTCCACCCAGAAGCTGGAGCAATTATTTCCATAAAAAGAAATGAGTCAATTCCTGATTTAAAAAAATAACTTCTATATAAATAAAAAAGAAAAGGTATACAAATATTCACTGAACATACATTATCTCTAGGTAGATAATTAGTAGTTCAAGAAATCAAAAATCAAAAAAATGGAACAGAATGTTTTTATATGCCTAAAAAAAACTTCTTTGGAAATAATAGTACTAATACTAATAATTATGGGTGATGACCACTGATACATTGCTTGAATTTAAAAAAAAAAAGCCCAGACTTTGTTGAACAATGGATCCATTGCAGCATTAAGTTTTGGGAACTGATGGAGAAACGGGGAAACGGGTGTAAAAGGAGTTGCTGTAGGTAACAAAGCCGTTTCATTCCATTCTGAGTTCTGGCCTGTTGCCTTGCCTGGAAGGGCCTTCAGCCTGGTCTCCTCTGCTGAGCAGGGATCATAAGCCACACGTCTTGGTGGCACCATGGTACCAATTCCCACCCAACCTGTGTTCTGAGCCTCCTTCACTATCAGGAGCAAAACGATTTCGTGGCTCAGCAGTCCTGGAAGGTTCCATTGTACCAAAGGTACTCAAGTATGCCTCCTTTCTACCCGCGTAATTCACCCAGAAAACTAAGTTGCTATGGGTGAATTGTCAGGATGGATGTGTGTGTGGTTGGAGAGTGTTAGCTAGGGAACTCTCCTGCTCCTCAGATGTACAGATGACCTCCATTTGCACAGATGAATCACGTCAATCCAGATACTTATTTGAGCTGCAGAAGTGTATGCTGTTTCCCCCTAGTGATGTGTAAATCCTTGCTTTAGCCACTAAAGCCTCTCCTTTATATTCCTGACCATGTTCCTCGGTAGACGCTGTATTTTGCATTGGAAGTGGGGGACAATGAAGATATCATAAGAAGGTTTCTTCAGAAAAGTCACTCTTGGGCTATCAGGGATGCTGCTTTAATCAGGACTTATAAAGAAATCAATGAACTCAAACTACATTAAAGCTGGATGGGAATTGGGGTCTGTGTCAACTTCACTATCTCCACATAACACAATCAATTTTTATTTCATGTCCTGCACTGCTCTTGTCTTTCTGTTAAAAACCAGCACTATTCCATGGTTTACACTATTAAAACATTCAGATCTCATGGCTGGGAAGGTGGCTCAGTGGTAGAACGCTTGCCTTGCATGCATGAGGCCCTGGGTTCGATTCCTCAGCACCACATAAGCAAAATGAAAAATGCCAGAAGTGGCGCTGTGGCTCAAGTGGTAGAGTGCTAGCCTTGAGCTGAAGAGCTGAGGGACAGTGCCCAGGCCCAGAGTTCAGGCCCCACGACTGGACCCAAAAAAAAAAAATTCAGATCTCTGTTTTTAAAAAAAATAACAGGGGCTGGGAAGTTGGCAGTAGTAGAGTGCTTGCCTTGAATGCATGAGGCCCTGGGTTTGATTTACCTCAGCACCACATAAGCAGAAAAAGCTGAAAGTGGTGCTGTGGCTCAAGTGGTAGAGCGCTAGCCTTGAGCTGAAGAGCTGAGGGACAGTGGCCAGGCCCAGAGTTCAGCCCCCATGACTGACCAAAAAATAAATAAATAAATAATAATAATAAAAACAGAATTGTTCACATGACATTCTGGTCATTGAGACTAATAAAACTTTACCAGCTCAATCATATGGGTAGAAAATTAACACCTGAAGCATGGTTACCTTCTTTATCCTGAATTTCCATCTCATTAATGAAACTCAAGTATGTTTGGGGAGTCAACTTTTTTCTTTTTCTTTTTCTGTTTTGTTGGTCATGGGGCTTGAACTCTGGGCTTGGGCACTGTCCCTCAGCTCAAGGCAAGCGCTCTGCCACTTGAGCCACAGTGCCACTTCCAGTTTTCTGGTGGTTTATAGGAGATAAGAGCCTCATGGACTTTCCTGCCTGGGTTGGCTTCGAACTGTGATCCTCAGCCTCCTGAGTAGCTAGGATTACAGGCGTGAGCCACTGGCACCCGGCATGGGACCCAACTTTACACCAAAGTAGGCCTGGACAGAGCAATCCTGAGTTCGAGAGAACAGTGGGTCTTTTCAGCTTAAAAAAGAAAAAAAAAAAGCCTTTTTGGTGATAGAAATGGGGACTGAAATTCAGATACACAAAGATGTGTGCATATTGAGCATCACTAGAGCGAGACCTATTCATGAGAGGCTCTGAGCTTCCTGACCCCATGGGCTGTTCCTCTCACGGTGGCTAGAGCACTAATGAGGCCACAGATTCTTTTCATGCTGTTCCAGAAATTTCTTTGAAGGGTGTCAGGCAACGATAACCCTTATATATTAGAATTATACATTAGCACAGGCAAAGCTTTTCAAATAATGTGAAGCCTTTTTTTTTTTTTTTTAATTTCTTGTGTCCCTGAGTGTCTGAGTTCAGGATGGAGGAAGATTAATGTCTCCAAAAAAATCCATCACATTGCTTCCACGAGAAACAGCTGGTGAGAGTGGAATTAATGGTGTCTAAAATGAACTTTGAATTGAAGCTACTTCCTTCACCTTACATTTTCCCCTTTTTGCGTTCGCTGTTGCCCTTCCTTAGTGAGAAAGTTTCCTTAAAACTGAGATACAATTAGTTAGGATTCATTAAAAAATATGTAAAGTAAAACATAAATGAATCTTCTAATTATTATAGTGCAGACATGCTATGGACACAGGTTGATATTTAGTTCGTTGGATATTTATACACATGTATATATTTATACACCAGGGCTCAAAACTTACAGGTTTGTTAGTAGATATTTGCTATTATATCTGATTTTTTTCTTATCCTTGTCATTTCTTTGGCTTATTTTGAAGACAATAATTCTCTCAGTAAATATTTGTGAATGAGGGAATGAATAATTCAGATTCATTCATTATTTAAAACACAGCAAATGAAATTATACTGATTTAACCCATGGACTCAATATATGAAATAATGAGCAATAAAAATGGTAATTCATCAGATTAAAGACATAATCTGGTATGCTCAGCTGAAACGAAGACATAGGCACCATTGTTAAAGGATTTAGACTAAGTCAAAGGGTTAAGAACAAT